TTATAACATACTTTTTTGAGTGAAAAGAAAAGTCAGTGTAATGTGAAGAAATTATGGCAAGTAAAGCTATAGTTCCTCTTCCAGGAATTTTGATTATGAGCAGCTGATAAGGTGTTGCTAAAGGGACCTCATCAGGGAAATTCCTTTCTTTCTTTCTTTTTCTTTTGCATCCTCTCCTTTTCCTTACTTTCTTTTTCCCTTTTTCCCTCTTCTCCTCTTTTCTTTAATAATACTTGGGGAAAGGTACACCTTTTATTTTACTTATTTGCTGAGGGGAAAGACAGAGTTAAGAGACCAAATGATTAGATGGCAGGGTCACTGGAGGGCAGAGATAAATAACATTCTAAATTAAGGGTTGGCAAACATTTTCTTTAAAAGGCAGGTGGTATTTGTTTTAGGTTTTGCAGGCCTAGAGTACTCAACTCTGCCATTGTAGTATGAAAAACAGCCATAAACTATATAGTATATTGTATTAGTCCATTTTCACGCTGCTGATAAAGACAAACCTGAGACTGGGGAAAAAAAAGAGGTTTAATTGGACTTAGAGTTCCACATGGCTGGGAAGGCTTCAGAATCATGGCGAAGGTGAAGGGCACTTCTTGCATGGCACTGACAAGAGAAAATAAGAAGGATGCAAAAGCGGAAACCCCTGATAAAGCCATCAGATCTCGTGAGACTTACTGCCACAAGAACAGCATGTGGGAAACTGCCCCCATGATTCAAGTTATCTCCCACCCGGTCACTCCCACAACACATGAGAATTAAGGGAGTACAATTCAAGATGAGATTTGGGTGAGGACACAGAGCCAAAGCATATCATATATAGTATATTTATAAATAAAAGAACTTGGGTATGTTCCAGTACACTTGATGGACACTGAAACTTGAATTTCATATAATTTTCACATCACAAAATACTCTTTTTTAAACTTTTTCCAGCCATTTAAAAATGTACAATATTCTAAGCTTGAGAGACATACAAAAACAGGTGATGAACTCGGTTTGACTCATGGGCTATGATTTGGTGAACCATATGGTACAAGGATTAACCTTGCACAGGAACTATACCAAAAAGTCATTATTAGTGTATACTTTTCCAACATAGAGGCCCCTTTATGTGCTCTAAATTTTGTATGCCTTTTACATACCCTAAATTAGATAGTAATACAGATGAGGCCAGATAAATTAAGGTGTCATAGGAGTGAGGAAAAAAGGAGAATGCTTAATATAGTTGATTCCACCATTAACATGGAGATTCTGACCTGGCTTCCTTTAGTCCTGTCTCATCAGTGTAGCTGCTGTTTGTTAACTTGGCACAGAAAGGCAGATCAAATACAGGGGTCTACTTTCATATCCTCCTCTTAATAGTTATTAAAAGCTCAAATTTAGTAGCTGAGTTCAGATCTCTTATTAGATGTATGACTTATTGATGTAATTTCTCTGAGCATCAGCAGAATGAAGGTTTATAGTGCTAACTCATACACTTGTGAGGGTGATAACAATTACAACAATAGTAGTAGTAGCTAACACTTTCATAGTGCTTAGTATGTGCCAGGCAGTGTTCTGAGCACTTTATATATATTAACACATTTAATTTTCTCACAATTGATAATGTGAAGAATAATAATGCTCTCATCATGATAATGCTCGTAGATACTACCACTTAAATTATGAGGAAACTGATGTACAGAAAGGTCAGGTAACTCATTCAGGGTCACATAGTTAATTAAGAGGTAGAGCCATCATGTGAACTTGGGCATCTGGCCTCAGAATGCGAGCTCTTAACTGTTAAGGTTTATTCCCCTCTAACGTGAGAATGTCTATAAAATGCATAGCACATAGGTCCTCAAAAAATTAGAGATAAATTAACTTTGCAGAATATAGTGGTTCCATTTCCTCAAGAAACTTGGTCTACCTTTGTGGTACCAGGTATATGCATAAATGTGAGGTTCACATTATGATTCTTCAGATTTTTTTTCCCAGTTGCACATTAGTTATGAGATTTTTTTTCCATAGAATTCTTCAGTATTACTCATGTTAAAAAATAATTGTTTGGAAATGAATCACCTTCTGCAAAACAGTATAGTCAAAATGACTTAGACTCTGAAGCTGAAAGACTCCTGGACTCCTATTCTTGTCTTGGTTGTGTGTACTTTCTTTGAGATCTGGGTTTGGTGATTTGACTCCAGTTCTATTTCTCTCTTTGGCTGTGGACTGAAGATAATCCTCAATGTCATGATACTCAAATGAGATAACCTATGTCAAAGTGCCCCGCGGTGTGTGTAATGTTACCAGGCATCCAACAAATACTGGTTTCTTGTTCATCTCCCTATTACATAAAATAACTTAAAATTAGAACTGAAGGGACTCATAAAGCTGGGAAAACTGAGGCCCAGACAGTTATTTCCCTAGGATCCTACAGCTACTTAGGGACAGAAGGATGACACTTAATGCAGGTCTTCTGATTTTTCAGTCTCATTCTGTTTGTGCTGATCACTCTCCTACTATGTAGTATGTAAAGAAGTACTATGTATCTGACAGGTTTTGGGGAAGTTATTTTAGTATAAAAGCTCACATTAAAAATATCTATCTTAGTATTTTGACTTTTATAATTTTTTTAAAAATCAGAGGCAATTTAATAAATCTTGGGGCCATTCAAATCATGTATATGAAGTTTTAAAACTGCTGTTGTTTTCCCCTTATAGTTATTAATTTTTAATATGCAAGTAGCATCCTTATTATGGAAAGAATAAATAAATCAAAAGATGAAAGAAGTTTTAAAACTAATTTAATCACATCGTCCAGAGAAAATGCTATTAATGCTTTGAAATAACAATGGGTTCATCCTACACCTGCTACTTTGTAACTGACTTTTGTCAGTTAGTGATATATCAGGAAGACTAGGCAGTTCCTTGTCAGATTCAATCTTGATAGTTTTTATTTTATTGTGTGACCTATTATCAGTTCATTTAAGTAATCTTTTATTAAACATGTTGATTTTATTCAGATATGGAAACTGCATTTTTGTAAAATTGTCAAATTGTTTTCCACAAGTAGGATCTCATTCATGTGGTATTCATGTTTTTAAGACTTTCGATACGTATTCACTATTTTCCTCCAGAAAGGAAATACCTGTTTACATTTTCACCAGGGAAGTCACTGTAGTTTGGGAGAACATGACATTATCTCCCTTTCTTTACTGAAGACTAACAATGTATGTTTTAAAGTTTCTGGATTCTCCATTCCCCTTTTATTTTTACATGTTTTCACTTTCATATTTTGCATAGTGATAAATCTGTGATATCAGTTTTTAATTTTCAGGTTGGGTTGTTTATAGCTTCATAGATAACAAAATGTCTCTTTAAGTCATGTTTATGCAATTTTTATGTGTGCTTTGTGGGTTTTCTTTTTTCTCTGTTTGCATGCAGTGAGTGGTAAATTTGCATGGAACATGTGAAAAAATATAAGCACCAGAATGAATTGAATCTGTGTGAATTATCACTTTTTGTCACCTACCTGCATAGTTTAGACAAAGTCTTTCTTTTGAGACAAAATTGGATCTCATTTGTCTCTTCACTTACTTGCTGTCTTGTTATTTGAGTTTCTCATGATTAGCAAGATGTAAATTCTCTGCCATTGGTCATTTAGTCCTACATGTTAGTAAGATAATTCTGTGAATGTTTTGAAAATTAGCTGAATTATTTTTCTTATAATTTTGATTCTTTGTAGTTTTTATTTCCATACTTGTGAATTTGGGACCAAAAGGAATAGCTATGACTTACGTTTCTTTGGATCCAGTAGTTTATTCTACTGAAATTATGGTGTTCTCATCATCAGTTAGTAGAAGTACAGACTCTTTAGTGTTGAATATAGAGATAATGTCATCTAACTTCTTACTTGATCACATAATTCCTTCCTCAATTTTGGTAGCTCTCTTGTGATAGCTGAAATAGGACATTAATCTGTGTACTTTAAGTTCACAGAGTAAAAGGAATATAAGATTTTGTGTGATGGAACTTAAAATATTCCATCTTGTAATGTGGAACTAAGGAGGAGGTTTAGTGACAAGTTTTAGATTTAAGATTGTATACTTTGGAGCCTCCTTTTCTTTTTTATTTTCCTTTTTTTTTTTTTTGAGACAAAGTCTAGCTCTTGCCCAGGCTGGAGTGCAGTGGTACAATTTCGGCTTATGGCAGCCTTGACTTTCAGGCGCAAGTGATCCTCTCACCTCAGCCTCCCAAGTAGCTGAGACTACAGTGCATGCTACCACACCTGGCTAATTTAAAAAAAAATAACACTTTGTAGAGAGTAGCCTCACTAGGTTGCCCAAGCTGGTGTTGACCTCCTGGGCTCAAGTAGTCTGCGTACCTCAGCCTCCCACAGTTATGGGATTGATTACAGTCATGATCTACTTCACTCAGGCTGTAGCCACTTTCTTTCAGTGTAACACTAGCTTTGGATGTTCCACTTACAAATTTATTTTTAAGTCTCCCATGTGGTTGATAATTGGGAAAAATAGTTTTTATTCCAGATAGATATTCTGTGTTAACTGTAAGTCAAATGTTTACAAACTATTAAAAGTGAAATAGTGATTATGTAAAGGAAAACTGGATTTTCCTAATGCTAATTTTTAAAATGATAGAATCCTAAAACTGTTAGCTGTAAACCTGGTGATTTTTCAGCTGTTGTACTAAACAACTTAAGCACATATACCATCAGATGAGCCCCCCTCCCCCCTTTTAAACCAAAGGAATGTATACTCTGTTAATGCAGTCAGTAAGCATTGACATTCTTTATCATAATATCCTAGAAAATATTTATTAGCTATTTCACTAGTCAGGGGTTGTTGGTAAATAGTGCATCTCCATTTTTTACTTCTCATCTTCGTACACAGGTTAATCACTTCAGTGCTTGACTAACTTTTGCCTTGATGATCTGTTGAGCTTTGTACATGACAGCTATACTAATCACTCTGCTTATTGTTTGACTGTTTGGTACAGGAAGCGAGCAGCTGCAAAGCATCTAATAGAACGCTACTACCACCAGTTAACTGAGGGCTGTGGAAATGAAGCCTGCACGAATGAGTTTTGTGCTTCCTGTCCAACTTTTCTTCGTATGGATAATAATGCAGCAGCTATTAAAGCCCTCGAGCTTTATAAGATTAATGCAAAACTCTGTGATCCTCATCCCTCCAAGAAAGGAGCAAGCTCAGCTTACCTTGAGAACTCGAAAGGTGCCCCCAACAACTCCTGCTCTGAGATAAAAATGAACAAGAAAGGCACTAGAATTGATTTTAAAGGTAAGATGTTTTATTTTTAATTGAGAATTGTTGGCTGAAAACCATGTGGGAGATTTAAATGTATGAGTTTTTATTTGTTTTTTCTTATGTGACATTAAGACATTTTGATACCGTAGAACCAATTTTTTGTTTTGGTAAAGGACAGGAATAATAACTACATTTCACAGGTTTAATCGTTGCTAATTAGAAGCAGATCATATGCCAAAAGTTCATTTGTTAATAGATGGATTTGAACTTTTTAAAATTCTTAGGGAAAAAGTATTAATTGATAGTTAATCTCCAAAACTAGGCCACAACATCTATTTAAGTTATGGAATAACTGGACTAAGTATCTGGCGTGAGGTCTGGAACCTCAGGATGATGTGATGAAAGAAGTAGGAAGAGGAAGCAGTGGGTTCTTTCCATTTTTAAAGGCAAGACAAAATTTTGTGATAGTTATGTGAGAATTCTACATTTCCTTCAAATATATGCTTCTCACTCTCCTCACAAACATTTGGTACAGTCGTGCTGCCAGGGGTAGTGACCTACCAATGACAGTCTTCACTCAGGTCTTTTGTTTTTTAAATGGTCCCGTGTCCAAAATTCAGGATTCGATTACCTTGTCGCTAATACTAAAACTCCAAGTTATTTTCCTCAGTGAATGTAATTAGTAACAAGGTAATCGACTTTTTGAATGACTGCCAGGGCTTAGCGCGCCTGCACCCCCACCCCCATACACACACAGAGGCAATTGTATCTTAAGAGAGAAAGCTTTTTGTTTATGACATATAAGTGACAGAATTTTAGAGGCATTTGCCTTTAAAACTTTCAGTAACATCATCTGAATCAAGTTTGAAAGAATTAGTGAAGTGGCATTGTGTTATAACCTCTACTGTTTCCACAATAAAATTATTTTTGTCACTTTACACAACTTTGTTGCTTCAGAGTGTATAGTTCTGTTTCATGAATTAGCTCACACACTGTGGAAAAATAGGTACATGTTGTCTATATATATATATAGTGTGTCAGTATAATGTGGAAGCTGCATTGACTTGATTGTACACAGTTCTCCAGTAAGTATGCACCACAGAGTACCAGTAACTGAATGCAGAATGCTGGCACAGTGGAATGCAGCCAGCTGGGGGGGATGCGATACATGAGGAATGTACTCATCTGCTCTTTTGGCCACATGCTCCATCTTAGAGATGCTTATTGTGTGGCTTTATCCAGTCTTTATGCCCCCACCTCTTTTTGCTCAAGTCTGCATTAGTTAGCAGTTTTGACCTTTTCTTTTTCCTGCTTTCTAATCTGCTACTGGTACTATTCCCTGTTCTTTACTGTTTTGTTTTTGTTTTTGTTTTTGTTTTTGCAGTGTTTTACAGTTACTGTCATATATTAGAAATTAGAAATGCTTTCTCTGCACTAGTACTCTTATTTTGATTATTAATTATGTTTATTAACACTAATCACAAAGTTGCATAAGTATTAAGTAGTCTGCACGAAACTCTTGTTGTGTAAAAGGTTTTTAAGTGCAGAATTTAAAAGATTGAGTATTTTCAGGGACACATTTATCACAAGAAATCTTACAAAAAATGTCTTACTTAATATATTCTCAGTAGAACACCTTTATCAGTAAACCAAACTTTATGAATGTTCATATCTAATTACAGTGTTTTTTGACTAATTTTTATCTATATATCTGAAAAATTCAGTTTAACATATTAAACACTACAGGCCAGGCATGGTGGCTCATGCCTGTAATCCCAGCACTTTGGGAGGCCAAGGCGGGCGAATCACGAGGTCAAGAGATCGAGACCAGCCCAGTCAACATGGTGAAACCCCGTGTCTACTAAAAATACAAAAAAATTAGCCGGCTGTGGTGGCGTGCACCTGTAGTCCCAGCTTCTCGGGAGGCTGAGGTAGGAGAATCGCTTGAATCCAGGAGGCAGAGGTTGCAGTGAGCCGAAATTGTGCCACTCCAGTCTAGCCTGGCGACAGAGCGAGACTCCATCTCAAACAACAACAGCAACAACAAAAAACACTACATGGAAAAAGTATAGGTACATTCTATATAGGATTAGTAGACTGTCAGAATCACTTGAAGATGTTCCGAAAGCATGACATATCAACAAAGGACATGTGAGTCTAGAATCGTGATCCCTAGGACAGGCCATATTACTGCATGCAAAGCAAGTCTTTGTTAAGCTTATGACTTGCTCAGGAAGCAAAGTGTTTTATGTCTTAATTTTCTGTTACATTTTAGGAAATTAGATAGGGGTTTTGCATTGTCTTGTAAGAAGGTATTATAAAAATTTTCAATGAAAATAATGAGAAATAGACTTCCAGTGGTTTTACACTTTTGGGGAAAAGGTTACTGATGTTTAGCAAAAGATGCTTATATATTCTTAATAGAACAAACCTGAGAATTAGTTCTTAAAGAGTTAAGGCCCATAAAAGAAACTACAAGTGTTGACACTCTTGTAGCTTGGCCACAGATCAGATCCTTAGTATGATAAAATTTGGTATTTTTGTGGTTCAATTTTTGGAGACCATTCAATGATCACTTACATTTTATATTGTCTTTCATTGTGAAACAGATATATTATAGCAGAGGTGGGAGTCATTAAAAATTCTACATGTTGTATAGTACATGTATAAGGGTATGTTTGGCACAATGGAGGTAGGATTGTTTGCCTCTAAAATTAACCTCTTAAGTAGTTAATCTGATGATGATAAGTATGTCACTTTATTGATGAAAGGGAGAATTAAGACTATTCTCAGTATTATGTTGGTCAGTACACAAAATATATCATTTGTTTTTACCTGTAAAATAAAATATCTTTCATCCTGTTAGCCAGAAGGGGGAAAGCATTGGCCTGAAAATAACACTTATCTCAAAAAGTTGGGAAATGTGGTCCAACTCTGTGCCCAGGAAAAGAGGAAATAGATTTTGATGACTACATAGTCTCTGCACTGCTTGCCAGCTCATAAGTTGCCTTCTTCGCACTGTTCGTTTTCATTGCTCAAAAACTATTTTCTGTCACTCTATGAGACTTAGTCTAACCTGATTGCTGGCTGCAGAAAGCAGTTTCTGCTTAAGAGCTGATGAGAAATGGTATATTCTTCTCAATCACTCACAGAATGACTACCCTGGAACAAACTAGGAAGACCCAAAATGAACCAGTTTTCTTTTAATACATACATAGATGCTGAAGGAACCTTTCTTTTAAGACTTTGCCTTCTCAGTCTTTTGAGAACGGAGTACTGAAACAAGAAAACTCTCAGAAGATTAGTAGTATTTCTGTTCTACAGTGAGGTTTTAAGAGCTGTATTATGATTAATCAGTATATGACATATTGGTTCATATTTATAAATAAAGCTATACATTAATAGGTATCTTGATTATAAAGAAAGTTTAAACTCTCCTGATCTCATTAAGAGTTATGCATTGTTGAAAGAATGTAAAAGCATGGGTGAGGTCATTGGTGTAGGTCATTGAAAAAAATAGGTGAGCATTGAATTTTGTTTGCGGAATCTAAGTATTAGATACTTTTAGAGTTGTGTATCATAAATGATGTTGAGACTACAATGTTTGGCTGTTTTACTTTTATTAGAACTTTTTGCAACAGGGTAAACATGCATATTATGAAAATAAATGTTCTCTTTTTTCCTCTGATTTTCTAGATGTGACTTACTTAACAGAAGAGAAGGTATATGAAATTCTTGAATTATGTAGAGAAAGAGAGGATTATTCCCCTTTAATTCGTGTTATTGGAAGAGTTTTTTCTAGTGCTGAGGCATTGGTACAGAGCTTCCGGAAAGTTAAACAACACACCAAGGAAGAACTGAAATCTCTTCAAGCAAAAGATGAAGACAAGGATGAAGATGAAAAGGAAAAAGCTGCATGTTCTGCTGCTGCTATGGAAGAAGACTCAGAAGCATCTTCCTCAAGGATAGGTGATAGCTCACAGGGAGACAACAATTTGCAAAAAGTAGGCCCTGATGATGTGTCTGTGGATATTGATGCCATTAGAAGGGTCTACACCAGATTGCTGTCTAATGAAAAAATTGAAACTGCCTTTCTCAATGCACTTGTATATTTGTCACCTAACGTGGAATGTGACTTGACGTATCACAATGTATACTCTCGAGATCCTAATTATCTGAATTTGTTCATTATCGTAATGGAGAATAGAAATCTCCACAGTCCTGAATATCTGGAAATGGCTTTGCCATTATTTTGCAAAGCAATGAGCAAGCTACCCCTTGCAGCCCAAGGAAAACTGATCAGACTGTGGTCTAAATACAATGCAGACCAGATTCGGAGAATGATGGAGACATTTCAGCAACTTATTACTTACAAAGTCATAAGCAATGAATTTAACAGTCGAAATCTAGTGAACGATGATGATGCCATTGTTGCTGCTTCGAAGTGCTTGAAAATGGTTTACTATGCAAATGTAGTGGGAGGGGAAGTGGACACAAATCACAATGAAGAAGATGATGAAGAGCCCATCCCTGAATCCAGTGAGCTGACACTTCAGGAGCTTTTGGGAGAAGAAAGAAGAAACAAGAAAGGTCCTCGAGTGGACCCCCTGGAAACTGAACTTGGTGTTAAAACCCTGGATTGTCGAAAACCACTTATCCCTTTTGAAGAGTTTATTAATGAACCACTGAATGAGGTTCTAGAAATGGATAAAGATTATACTTTTTTCAAAGTAGAAACAGAGAACAAATTCTCTTTTATGACATGTCCCTTTATATTAAATGCTGTCACAAAGAATTTGGGATTATATTATGACAATAGAATTCGCATGTACAGTGAACGAAGAATCACTGTTCTCTACAGCTTAGTTCAAGGACAGCAGTTGAATCCATATTTGAGACTCAAAGTTAGACGTGACCATATCATAGATGATGCACTTGTCCGGGTAAGTTGGGCTGCTAGATTAAAAACCTAATAATGGGGATATCATGATACAGTTCAGTGAATTCATTTTAAAAGTGACTGAAAAAAATGATACCATATAGCATAGGAACACATGGACATTTCTGATCTTAGATATAAGTATTATACTTTGTTGTTCCTGTCCAAGTTTATAGATGTTTTCTACAAAGTATCGGTTGTATTATATAATGCTCACTCTATCTTTGAAAAAGAGTGGATTTTCTAAATCTTGAATACTAGATCCAGAGTTTCTTTCATTCAGAAGAGAATGGAGTGTTGGGCAAACACCAGAACAAGAGAAATGTGGAGATACCCAGTAATAAGTGTGGATGTGAAGTCTTGAACTGAGAGAAATGGTACAGTAAAACTATACCATAAAATTATAGGTAGTGTCCAAAAAATTCCATCATGTAAAATTCAGAGTTGTTTTATTGCGAACTTGATGAAGTGACCATGGCAGACCAGTGCCTGTTGCCAGTAAGAGTTGAGTCCTGCTGGGCCACTTAGAATATCCCTGTATGGACGGCACTGCCTGGCTGTGGTAGTTTCTTCCCACTTAAAAATTCATAGAGACAACTCTGGGTCTTGGAACTTCTGGAAAACAGCAGCTATTCCAAAAATTTGGGGATTCGTGGTGGTGCCTGTAACATCAAGTGCAGGGAGATCGAGCAGGGAAATACTGGAAACTCAGGTACTCGTCTTAACTTCCTGGTTTTCCAGATGGGGTTGCCATTTGTTGCTTTGCTTTTCTCCACAAAAGATTATTTTTAGTGTATCTATTTAAGAATATAAGAGTGGCCAGAAGACAGAAACCAATTGTCAGTCACATTTTACCAGAATTTACATTTGTCACAGGTGTATTGTCGCAGAGTTTTATTGTATTTCTAGTATTAGGTATCCCTGTCATTGCTGCCTTTTTATCATCTTCAAGTAAAATTTAATGTCAACCAAAATTAAGGTAGTTAATAATACTATAGTATACTAGTAGAGAAAGTTGTCTGACACAACTAGGAAATGTAATTTTTACTTTAAAATGTATTTTAGTTTTAGAATGTCTAAATTTTAGTTTTAGAATTGTCTAAATTTGAAAATTCATAAAACTATAGCCCAGTGGAAAAAGTTATTTGACATCTCAGAAATTACAAATTGCAGAGATTTTGTGTGTTTTTTTCTTTGTTACTGTTTTTGTTTTTGTTTTTAATGTCAGATATGTTTATAGTGGTGGAGAAAGATTCTGCATTATTTAAGCAACTCTGGTGGTTTTCTAGCAGAGACAAAAGGGGGCTTTAACTGCCTGAAGTCATTATTATTGCTTGCTTTCTGGTACCCTTTTTATTTCACTTATATAGTTTTGAGACACATGAATAATTAATACACTTAATGACTGATCATAAGGCAGCCAGCACCTTGCTTTAGATAGTTTAGCAGAATGATAGGGTATTTTATAAGAATGTGAGTGATGTTTTATGAAAGGTATGTTGAGGTCTGTCTGTGACTATCCATTGTTGGAGCAGAACTGCAAATGCCGAAGCTACATACTCTATGTTTGGCTTCTTGAGGTGAGATCTCTGTCTAGCCTTTAAAAGCAATGAAATTACACTGTAAGATTCATTCCAGGGTTCAAAAAATTGTCTACCTTCCTTATCTGTCTTTTGCTCAGAAGTCTACTCAGTCTTATTTTCCTCAGTCCCCCCGTTTTTTCCTCTAGTAAAGCAAGGCTAACAAACACCAAAAGTTTAAGTACTTGGTGTATACTTTATTCTGTTTCTTAAATTCTATTCTAGAATTTTAAGGAAACAACCGCTTTTAAAGCCTTCTCAGGTGTTAGTATAAAATTAACTGTGAGCTCTTTAATTATGGTAACTTTTTTTTTTTAGCAAGTTCTGCTTAATTATATCAAAACGAGGTAATATGGTGTGGCCTATTATAAATCAGGACTCACTAGATAGTATATGTACTTGAAGATTGCCTGCCCACAAAAGCAGCTCACTTCAGAAATCATGTGTGTTCGGCAGTTTAATAAACTGTTAGAATAGAAAGAGATGACGCCCGCTGAGAAGCTTCTTAGGGACTCCCAATGCTCCCACTAAGCAGATTTGACTTTTACCTTTCTTTCTCCCTTGCTTTCTCTTCTTCCTTTTCTTTCTTTCTTTTTCTTTCTTTCTTTCTTTCTTTCTTTCTTTCTTTCTTTCTTTCTTTCTTTCTTTCTTTCTTTCTTTCTTTCTTTCTTTTTTTTAAAATAACAGAATGTGAAAACACTGGAAAAACCAGTATCAAAATAGGTCTTAGAAGTAAAATTGATAACCTGCGTAATTTTTTGAACTAAATATTCACAGCAGGTGATGATGATGATAAAGCCACATATTTTAGTAACACATAGTAGAAGGTCTGTAGTAGAAAGTGGTTTAAGATGATTCTCTCATATGAAAGCTCAAAAGTAGTGATGAGTTTTTCAAGACCTTATTTCCCAAGGATCTCTGCTTTTTAAGCCTCATTCTTATATATCACAGTGAACAAACTATTGGCCACTTTTTTATGACTTGCTGATTTTGGAACTGTATAGCAGCGTTGGGTAGAAAAGAAGAAATGAGAAACTTTGTGGTAAGCTTAATACTGATAAATAAAATTATGGGATCTTAGGCTTTAAGAGCTGAAAGAAGAGTTCACTCCTTAGTTTAGAAATCAAGCCCAGAAAATAGTGACTTCATATATGAGACTCTTGTATGTTTTCTGTTGAGGAGTGGTAACTTGAATTAATAATTATGGATTTTTTTAAAAAAGAAAAATATATTCATTGCTTTTGTATATTGTGATATTCAAACCAGACTAGCAGCTTTTTTCCTGAGGTTTTTAGAGAAATTGTCTTTGATTACAAGAGAAGAATTCATGTTTAATCTCTGATTGTAGAAAACACTATAATTTTATTACTGCTAAGACAGAAAAATACCAGCAATTCATTGTAAGATGCTGTCATTTGTATGATATAATCTGATTTCACAGATAATGTGAAAAAAGAAAAGTGAATTTTAGAATCAATAGAATATAAATTGTCTCTTCACAAACACCTTAGAACTGCCTAAGAACACCCCCACCCTACCCCTGTTTAGCTTTCTGCCATAGTTCCCCTAGGACTTACTTTCAGTATTTTTTTTGTTATTGTTCCTTAGAAAACAGTACAGTGATAAACATGAGCTTAGACTTCACCTTTCATTGAATGAAGACACTCCTAAATGTGATGAGGTTTTTACATATTTACCCATTTGCGTGTTCTTTTACAAGTAGATAATTTCTCATTTTTCTTAGATGAAGCACTTCCAAGGATAGTATGTATTAAGATTTTTTAAATTACTTCTTAAAGGAGAAGATAGAGGTTGTAAGTTTATGGAAGAACATAGTATTGCCATCATGAGGTCTCCCAGACGGCCTTCACATCTGAATGCGAAAATTGTTCTAAAAAAAAAAAATCCAGGGCCCTATCCTTTAAGAGGTTTAGATTAGAAGCTGTATTGTAGAGCCTATGAATCTGTATTTCTGGTAATACTCCACAGATACTTTGATAAAGCCAGACTCCAATATTTGGGAAGGTGGCTTTTGGTACATCTTGGGTTGGGGTGTTTGTGCATGTATGTTTATGTATGTATGTATGTGAGCATACATAGAGAAAGGAAGGCCATTTTGATATACAAGTATGTTTATGTCTTTCAGAAACTCAGATTTTTAAGAGGATCATGGGGGCAGCAAGCTTGGAATAGAGGATGATGGTGGTGTGAAACTTGGTTCCAATTAGTCAGGGAGTTCTAGAATTTCACATAAATACCTAAAAACCAAAAGGAATGGCTGAGATGTGGAATTGAATAGGGAAGTTCAAAAATAGGAATTAGCACAAATAAAGGTGATTGGCACAAATAAAAAGCCCCACTACCAGGAGGTTCTGCAAAATTCCCTCTGAAAGTCACTGGCCCTTTTCATCTGGTTTCTAATAGCCCAGTCTAACCCAGCTTCCAGCATTTTCAGCTCCCAGCTTCCAGCATTGGTGAACACTCTTATTATTGAAACACGAACTTAATTCTTTTATTCATTCATTGACTCACAGAGCTTTAAAAATAAGATTATTCTGTGCTGCTCTAGGTATATTTAATTTTATCTTACACATACAGTATATTGTGGTTAACATGTAATTTCCATTGTTCTTGTGATTTATTCTAATTGAAATAAAAAATGAAACCAAGAAATATTCTTAGTTTATGCCCTCAAAGTAATTTCTCAGAAACTGAATGAGAGAATGAAGCCTATATATACATAGATCCTCAGCATTATATAATAATTTAAGACAATGAAACATCAAACTTCTTAGTATTACATGTGAGGAAAATGAAATCTAAAAGAGATTCTAGCCTACATAAATTAATGGCAGAATTGGAAGTAGAAGTCAGGATTCCAGGTCTCATGGACATACGTGATTTATGTGATTTGGTATTACCCAAACATTTAAACTACATTTGAGATGTAACAGACTTTTCTTCATGTATTTATAGTGAACATGAAAAAATTAATCTGGATAACCTAGAAATCTCAGGCAATAGTTTAAGCCTCAAGTTGACTGAAGTAGTTGAAGCTAGCCTTTCTTAGAAATCCCAGGCATTCTTAAGTGTTAGAGGTCTCTCTTATCTGAGTATTGCTTCTACTTAAATATTCATGCTTGTAAAGATTTTTTTAAAAAAAATTATGAATGGGTTTGATGTAATAGCTCAGAAAACTAAGATTTTAAGTGAGGAGGTTTTCCTTTTGATTCCTGTAAGTCTAGTAATACCATATTTTGATATTAAGATGTCATCCTGCTAGGTATTCTGCAAATACTTTGATATCAGGTCAGATTTTTTAAAAAAAAAAATGAACACCCTAGGATTTCTTCATCATGGCCAATTAAAAAGTTCAGAAATTAAAAATCATTTTATCCAGCAATTGATGAAGTCAAGAGTCCTAAAGAAGAAGTTACGCAGTGAAGAGGTAGCTCTGATTATATCCAGGATATTTTTGTTTATTTTTCCCCAGTAATCTCGGTCTCTTGCTAGTCTCCATATTAAATAAATACAACATACGCTGTACTTTTAAAAATAGCTAAAAATTCACATCTGTATACCAAATTCAGGCATGCATGCACATTCTCCTTTTTAGAATGTTTTGACATAGTCTTCCAACTTTCAAATATTCTCATGCATTTAAAACAACTTCTGACTTACAGTTTTATGGTGAAGTTTGTGTTTAAACAACAACAACATACAGTCTTAAATAGCATAACTATTAGGGAAAGAATACACCTTTACGGTTTATATTTGTTAAATCTTTTTTAAATTGAACAATGGATGGAGGTTATTTTTAAGAAAAAGAATTATTAGTACAGCTATTTATGTAATGGCCTTTATCAAAATGGTTATTGCTAAATTTTATGTGTTAATTTAAAATAAAATAGTTTTAAAGGCTATTTATGTATTCTGTTTTTACTATTTTATTTTTTGAGACGGGGTCTTAACTCTGTCATCCAGGCTGGAGTACAGTGGCGCGATCTCGGCTGACTGCAGCCTTGACCCTCCCACCTCAGCCTCCCGAGTAGCTGGGATGACAGGCGCATGCCACCACTCCCCACTAATTTTTTTTTTTTTTTTTTTTTTTTTGAGTTTTTTGTAGAAACAAGGTTTCGTCATGTTGCCCAGGCTGGTCTCAAACTGCTGGGCTCAAGCAATCTGCCTGCCTTGGTGTCCCAAAGTGGTGGGATTACAGGTGTGAGCCACGGCACCCAGCCTTTATTCTTAAGTGGCACAGTATTTTATGAAATCACTTATGTGTAGCAGAATGGTAATCTAAAATAGGTAATAACAAAATTTTTGTCTACAGAATTCAGTTACCAACTACTTTTCAAATTACTCTCTTTACATATTTATATTCGAACATATTCTGACTCTGAAAAATGTATTTGTTGTAAAAAATGGAAAAATATGGAAAAGAATAAGGAAAATAAAAATCACTCATAATCCTAAAAAAAAATTATTGGTCATCATTGAAGAGAGTTTTAGAACCAATAAAATAACAGCAACAACAGCTAGTACTTTTAAACACTAACTTTATGCAGGGAATCTAAGCAGTTCATACATTAATTTATTGCTATATTATTATGCTTATTTTACAGATGAAATAGGTAAAGTTGTATGTTTACATTTACAATAGAACGTATTGCATTGCATTACATTCTTTTGGCACCAAGGTGGGGAGCATAGAATAGAGATCAGTGGAAGTGGACAGGCATGTAACATCTTATGGATCATAAAGATAAATTTGCTTCAGTTGTCATTTGACATGTCTTAGGTAGAGCTGAGACTAGGTAGAGCACAGGGCCTCTCAATCCTGTAGAAATTCTCCACCACGTCCTTTAAAAGGTTTTACATTGATGATGAGGAGTCAGCTCTCATCAATGAATGTTAGTGGGGAAAAGCTGTAGAATGCATAGTCTAAATACCAGATAATCTTTTTTTTTTCCACTTTGGAATACATTATATTTTATAAAAGCAAGTATACCTTTGGATGTAAAGGTACATGTAAACACTGACTTACATCTTTAACACTAGCCAGTTGGGAACTGGCATAAGGAAACTCAGAATGGATTACATGGCAATATGGAATGTTGGCCTGGTCCCACATTTGAGCTAAGATGTTAATTCTAATTTTAGTCTCCTCAGAATTCTATATACTCTGTAGCTTGAAACAGGTTTCCAACTGGAACTATTTTTTTTTTTCCCCAAGGTTATTTTCACATCTACATTTGTTTGACTCTAGATCTTGGAACTAGTCTATGTTAAGTTCCTTTGGGGACACAAAATTGCAAATCTTTTGTTCAAAGAGCAAAATTGTTTTAAAAGGTAACACTCTTTCTCATATATTCTTAATAAGCCTTCACAACTTATAGTATGTTGAGGAAACTGAGGCTTAATTGAATCGCTTGCTAAAGTTTAAAGGTTAAAAGTTATAGTAAGTGAGAGGTGGGACTAGTAAGGTGTATTCTGACTGACTCTTGATCTTTCCACAACAAAACAGTCTCAAACTGTGTGGCCTAAAAATGATTTTGTAAATATTAGAGATGGGTGTTGAACAAGAACAGACATTATTTAAATGTGAAGACTAAATTCACAGAATGGGACCCTAAAGTTGAAGATACCCAGAAGATGATTTCAGCTAGTTTTGTCGAACTCTTTGACTGCAATCCCTAGTATTTTACATAGCATCCCAGTGCATGCATATCCGTCTGACATCTGATTGAAACAGAAGTTTCACAAAACACGAGGTGTCCATTACTTTGTGGAATGCATTCTGATTTTCCCATTGCTGATTGCAAACCACTAAATGGATTAGACTACCCACTAATGAGTTGCAGGTGACAAGTTTGAAAAAAAACAATGCTCTAGGGCAACCTGACCTGATGCGTTAATTTATGAGATTTTATTTTTTATAGACAGACTAGATTGTCCAAATTAGTATTATTACCTTAACTACTGTTGTGCTGTATTACAGTTGTTTCAATGATTATTGCATTTTTCAAAACCATTTTTAAAACTCTGTTTGGAATAGTTGGAATAACCTGAACACATTTAATATCCTGTTTTGGTAAATTTTCATCTCCAAGATTAAAATTTTTTAACCAGCCAACAGATGTTTGAAGGCAAGTTAGGAGATAATGATGGATACTGGATACAGTATCCATCCATGTACTAGATACAGTATCTGTCCATGTACTGGATACAGTCGTACTGTTAGTAAATTTTAGATACATAAAATAAAACAAAATGCAGTATAAACAGTTACTATTGCTAGTGTTGATTTTGTGATTAATCTCAATGAGGTTAATTACTGCATATTCATAATTCTATAGGTACACAAGAATATTTGGTAAAAGATTTTTAGTTGAGAAAATGCTAGACACTAAAGTTTGATAACTTACAATTTAAGAGTAAGGGCCGGGTGCGGTGGCTCACGCCTGTAATCCCAGCACTTTGGGAGGCCAAGGTGGGAGGATCATGAGGTCAGGAGTTCGAGACCAGCCTGACCAACATGGTGAAACCCCGTCTCTACTAAAAATAAAAAATGTAGCCGGGCGTAGTGGCACCTGCCTGTAATCCCAGCTACTCAGGAAGCTGAGGCAGGAGAATCACTTGAACCCAGGAGGCAGAGGTTGCAGTGAGCTGATACCGCGCCACTGCACTCCAGCCTGGGAGACAGAGTGAGACTTCATCCCGAAAAAAGTAAGGACATGAGTAAGGTTATGTCTCACCTACTTTTAAGGAAATGTGAATATAAGATGGGTTCTAACCCATTAAAAGGTGGTAATTTGTACTAAGTCGTATTGTGAGAGATCATAAACTGCTTTACTATTCAATGTACTTTTCTTAATTGAAATATTTTACTTATGACAGTAGATATTAAGACTTAACTCTTGAGTTTCTATTCTAATAAAAATAAAGGACTACTAATGGACAGTTTTGAGGTCAGACTTCTACTTCATTGTTTTTGTTGAAAGTATTTAGCTGCTTTTCCATGTCCTGTGTAGTCCAGACTTGTTAACACACAAGTAATAAAATCTTAATTAACTGTATGTTAATTTTGTAATAAATCAGTAAAGTTCGTAAGCTTTTTACTATGCTGGTATCTTTTGTGTCTTTTTCATTATCATTAAGACTGAATCTTTGTCTTCACTGGCTTTTTATCAGTTTGCTTTCTGTTTCCATTTACATACAAAAAGTCAAAAATTTGTATTTGTTTCCTAACCCTACTCCTTGTTTTTATTTTGCCTTTTTGTTGATACTAGCAGTCATCTTCTTTTCATGTTTGTCTTTTCAATCACTAGCTAGAGATGATCGCTATGGAAAATCCTGCAGACTTGAAGAAGCAGTTGTATGTGGAATTTGAAGGAGAACAAGGAGTTGATGAAGGAGGTGTTTCCAAAGAATTTTTTCAGCTGGTTGTGGAGGAAATCTTCAATCCAGATATTGGTAAATACTTCAGTAATGTGATTATGGTGTCATATTGTCTTTTTGAGTTAGTTATTTGTTTATCTTAGTTGATAAATATTCTCAGCTATGAAGAGCAGCAAAAGAAGGATTTGGTATGGATTACCCGGAATCACACATCATGACTGAATTTGTAGGTTTTAGGGACTGATTTGTATCACTAATTTATTTAAATTCTTCTATTTCTTAGAAGGAATACTCTAATGAAGGAAATTATCTCTTTGGTAAATTGAATGGAAAGCACTTTAGAATGGTACATTGGAACAGTTGGAGGGATTTCTTTGCTTTTTGTTGTCTAAAACCATCATCAGACTCACGGTTTTCCTGACCTGTGAACTTCAAAGAACAATGATTTGAAGAGTGTTGAGAGACTGTCTCACAAGTATGTCATGCTCAGCGTTAAGAAACACTAGCTGATACCACATGAAGGTTTATTTGCTATGGGATTTATTGGGGCTTAATATAGGTAATGTTTCCCCCAAACTTTTTGAACTCCAGAACTCTTTTTCTGCCCTACCAGAAGAGTTGTTGTGGAACACAGTTTGGGAAAGGCTGATGGGATATGGACATTTGAAAGTGAAGGATCGGAATTTTAGTTTTTGCCCTTTTGTGATAAAGTAGAACAGGGAAAAGATGCAGTCTTTTGGGTAGTCTACTTAACTGCATAATTCTCAGCTGGTTTAGTTTCTACTGTAAATACAACCACTTAGTAACTGAACTTTCTTACATTTAAAATTGAGTACATGACAGTTATAGGAAAAGGTTTCCACTGAAGGTACCATCAGAATTGTGAGGAGTATGCGTAGAATAATGTATGTCATGTCCCTTCAGCTTTGAGATTTGAGCTGTTATAGCCCGTTGATTCTAATTGAGTTGACCTTTCTATTACTGTTCTTAGTCACACACACACACACCCTTTATCTATAGTCTAGCTAGTGTTTTATTAATAACTAAAAAACTATGCCATTTGTATGTAGTTTGTTCTAAGTAAATCAAAGATACATAAGACCGTGCCCCTTTTGAGATACAAAATTATAAACTTCATAAGGTTCTTAAATTTGGTAAACCTTAGCTCTAGCTTTTGATGTATCTAGAAATGTTAAACTTTAGCTATAAAGCATACTGCATTATATGCAGAAATACTTGTAAGAAAAAACATAGATTAAGTAGTTCCAGTAAGGTAACTGAAGTGATGGCAGTAGAAGTATCAAAAAGGAATATTTTACAGGAGGTTATGGTGCTTTTCTCCCTGGAACATGAGAAAATGTGCCTAAAATGGAACTTCAGAGTTATATTCTGATTAACTTATAGCTTATAACTCTTGGTTCCAAGGAAGGGCATTTGTGACATTTTATCAAATTCATTAATTTTTTAGACACACCATTGCCAACTTGAACAAATTTATTAATTGTAATTACTTGTCAGCTGTTCTTGATCCTGTTAATACCATATTTATAACTGAAAGCATTTCCATGGATATTGTAACTTGGCCTGTAAAAAATGTTTAGATAGAAACCATGAAACTCAAATATGAATTGTTTAATTTTCAAATCATTTTGCATTCAGAAAATGTCCTAGGCTTAATTCATGCGTCTAGTGATCGAGGAAACATGTTAAAGCTCCATATTTTTAAACTTAAAGTGATAATAACATTTTCAAAGATTTTAAAATTCTTAAAAACTCTCATTAAAATACTTATATACTGTATAATTTGATTTCTGATTTCTAAGCTCCACTTTTCTATTGGAAATTACAGATTTTTTTTCAGACTTAATTCTTAAGATGTTTTCATTGTTTCACAGTAGAAACTAAACATTTAGTAAAACGAAAATATTCTAAATTCAATTAAAATTTCTTTTCCCTAGTCATTTAAAAGGGAAGAAATCAATTTTTAGTAGTACTCATTCAGATAAAACCAAAGATCCCAATTTTCTTTTTTTTAAGTCTTATTTTTTGGTGGAGGGAGGCAGGATCTGGCTCTGATGCCCAGGCTGGAGTGTAGTGGCTCTGTCTTGGCTCACTGCAACCTCCACCTCCCAGGCTCGAGACTCAAACCATCCTCATGCATCAGCCTCTCAAGTAGCTGAGACTACGGGCGCATGCTGCCACACCCAGCTTATTTTTGTGTTTTTGTAGAGATGGGGTTTCGCCATCTTGCCCAGGCTGGTCTTGAACTCCTGAGCTCAAGTGATCTGCCTGCCTCAGTATCCCCAAAGTGCTGGGATTACAGGTGTGAACTACCACACCCGGCCCCAATTTTCCAATGAGTGATATAAAAAAGGCCTCTACGCAGACGCCTGTAGTCCCAACTATTCCGGAGGCTGAGGCCGGAGAATGGCGTGAACCCGGGAGGTGGAGCTTGCAGTGAGCTGAGTTCGCGCCACTGCACTCCAACCTGGGCGACAGAGTGAGACTCTGTCTCAAAAAAAAAAAAAAGGCCTCCGTGATTCAGGATTGCATAGTGAAGGCCATGTGAAATTGAAAGACTACTAAACTACTATTCTTTTACATATTAGCCCATAATTAATGTGTATTAAATAGCTTTGTTTATCTAAGTTCATCAGATTTATCCAAGTTTATGTATTTTAGATCATTTGATTTTATTAGGAAAATGCTAGAAAAATTTCATGGCACCATTGTCTGATTTTGAAAAAACAAACCTTTCCTTACTGTGATTAAAAATTGTTTTTTAGGCCAGGCGTGGTGGCTCACGCCTGTAATCCCAGCACTTTGGGAGGCTGAGGCGGGCAGATCACGAGGTCAAGAGATGGAGACCATCCTGGCAAACATGGTGAAACCCCTTCTCTACTAAAAATAAAAAATTAGCTGGGCGTGGTGACGCACGCCTATAGTCTCAGCTACTCAGGAGGCTGAGGCAGGAGAATCTCTTGAACCTAGGAGGCGGAGGTTGCAGTAAGCTGAAATCGTGCCACTCCAGTCCAGCCTGGGCGACACAGCAAGATTCCATCTCGAGAAAAAAAAAAAAATTGTTTTCAAAAATAGTACATGTAGTACAAATATAAGTAATTATATTTTTATAAATGAAACACTTTCAAAATATAGCCATTTTTTGTTTTTTTTATGTTTATTTTTCAGCTATGGGTGGATAAAGTATGAATATAACTTTTCTTATGTTATAGTAGAAAATTAGAAAGCTTGAATTTAATGAATGTATTTTTCTACCCGATGCCACCAAATTACTTACTACTTTATTCCTTTGGCTTCATAAAATTACATATCACTATTCACCCCAATTTATAACAGTTAGATATATGTGGACATTGTTTTCTCAAGTACTAATATAATAGAAATCAATGTTGCATGCCTAATTACATATATTTTAAATGTTTTATATGCATAATTAAATTTACATTTGTGTTATCATTTCTTAATAAAATACAAAAGTAATGTATTTTTAAAAATCATTTCTTACAGGTATGTTCACATACGATGAATCTACAAAATTGTTTTGGTTTAATCCGTCTTCTTTTGAAACTGAGGGTCAGTTTACTCTGATTGGCATAGTACTGGGTCTGGCTATTTACAATAACTGTATACTGGATGTACATTTTCCCATGGTTGTCTACAGAAAGCTAATGGGGAAAAAAGGAACTTTTCGTGACTTGGGAGACTCTCACCCAGTAAGTTGTCATTTTTTAATTCAGTCTCTTAGATTTTATTTAAATGCAAAAATACAATTTATTTATATCAAAATTTTAAAGTTTTTGTTTAGAATCTTTGTTGATACTTTTATCAATAAGATAAAAATGTTTAATCTGACCGAAGTACCACAAACACTTAAAAACTCAAAGGGGGACATTTTTATATATTGCTGTCAGCACAAAGCTTTTTAAAGATTGATTCCATAGAGAAGTGTTTCTAAACATTTTGTTTGTGCTTTAGTGAAATCTTAAGAGATAGGTAACATCAGAGCAGCCCTGGCTAAGGGTCTTGGTAGCTACAATGAGTGTGCCTGCTGCCACCCCCACCCCCACCTTGAGACACTACAGAATTTCTTATAGAGCACAGTGTGAAATCTGTTGCTAAATTGGTGGTATGGAGTTTCTCAGCAGAGAATGGAACATCACAGTGACTGACAGTCTTTCTTTTATAGGTTGGAAACTGGGGGACTGGAAGGATATTGTCTATACTTTTTACAATTTTTATTGATAAGATTTTTGTTATCTTCTAAGAAGAGTGATATAAATTATTTGTTGTATTTTGTAGTTCTATGGTGGCCTCAATTTACCATTTCTGGTTGCTAGGTTCTATATCAGAGTTTAAAAGATTTATTGGAGTATGAAGGGAATGTGGAAGACGACATGATGATCACTTTCCAGATATCACAGACAGATCTTTTTGGTAACCCAATGATGTATGATCTAAAGGAAAATGGTGATAAAATTCCAATTACAAATGAAAACAGGAAGGTAATAAATGTTTTTATGTCATGTTTTGTCTCTTCATTAACAATTTCAAAGCATGTATGCTTATAATTTTTAAAGAAGTATCTAATACAATCTGTACAAAAAAAAATACACACAAATCAAGTAACCAAGTTTATGTAAATGCTAGAGTCCAGTTTTCTAAATCTTGAATATAAGTTGGTATGAAAGCACACAGTTGGGCACTAAAGCCCCTTTTAGAGAAAGAGGACATGAAACAGGAGATAGTTAATAGCTAAGTGTGGTTGTAGGATAAAGCAAGAAGCAGGGTGTTTCCTGTGTTAAGCTGTAAGCAGGAACCTCATGATTAAGGTCTTTATCACAGAACAAATAAAAATTACATTTAATTTACACATGTATATCCTGTTTGTGATATAAATACATTTCTGAAAAGTATTCTTTACATTAGATTTGGGTTTCTGTTGACTAAAATGTGTTCATCTGGAATGGGAATAACCCAGAACATAACAAGGAAAAAATTATGACAAATATATAGTATACCTTTAAGAAACATATTTATATTGATACAATTTTTTGATTAAATATTATACACACTAAGGGTACAAAGCACATTTTCCTTTTATGATTTGATACAGTAGTTTATGTGTCAGTCAGTAGTTCCACATTTTGCTGAACTGGATACAGTAGGCAGCTTACCAAATATTCTATGGTAGAAAACATGGGACTTCCTGGTTTGATTAAATCAAATACATTCTACTCTCTTAAAACGGTGGCATTTATAAATAGATGGGTACATGATTTAAATGTGTCTGTTTGCATATCTAGTTGAGCGAACCTAAAGAATTTTCTGTGTCTCCAGCATTTATATTCAGTTCTGTTTAATACATTATCAAAATTGACATTTATATGTATGACAGTTTTATGTATATGGCCTTTTCATAGTTTCATATTGGCCATAACAGAGAATTGTGAAATTGTAAGAAGTAGTTTTCTTTGTAGGTGTAAAATTGAATTTTTAAGAATATTCTTGAATGTTTTTTTCTTGGAAAAATTAAAAAGCTATGCAGCCCAATAACTTGTGTTTTGTTTGCATAGCATATTATAAGAAGTTCTTGTGATTAATGTTTTCTACAGGAATTTGTCAATCTTTATTCTGACTACATTCTCAATAAATCAGTAGAAAAACAGTTCAAGGCTTTTCGGAGAGGTTTTCATATGGTGACCAATGAATCTCCCTTAAAGTACTTATTCAGACCAGAAGAAATTGAATTGCTTATATGTGGAAGCCGGGTAAGAAAGCAGGTGTCTGCAGAAAGTCATGTATCAATTTATTGTTTGTAATGATACAGTAGTATAGCAGATACTAAGACATATTTTCTTAAATTTGCAGAATCTAGATTTCCAAGCATTAGAAGAAACTACAGAATATGACGGTGGCTATACCAGGGACTCTGTTCTGATTAGGTGAGGTACTTAATTCTTCAAAGGAAGATTTGATTCACCAAAGGGGTGTGTGATTTTGCCTCAGACCTTTATCTCTAGGCACTAATTCCCAAATAAGCAAACTCACAAATTGTTATCTATATACTTAGATTTGTGTTTGTAATATAATCACCGTTTTTCAGAGCTAATCTTGTGATTGCTTTCATGAATGAAGTGTTGTTATATGTAAGTCTCATGTGTTCTCCTGCATTTGGGGTATGGATTATCTAGTATTTCTCACTGGCTAAGAGTATGCTTACTGCTGGTTAGAAGATAATTCAAATAAGGCTACCACTTCTGCATATTTTTCCTTTCTGTTGAACTCTGCATTTGTGAACTACATGGCTACCCAGGATCAAGCACCTTTTGAGTGAAATGGTACAGTCTTTTATTTAATTCTTAAGATAATATGTCCAGATACATAGTAGTATTTCCATTTTACACCTTAAGAAACTGAGCCCTAAATTCTCACAGAAAGATGTGGAGGCTCCCAATTCTATCTGCTTTTAAGCAAATGCCCTTGCTACTGTACTGTCTACTTCTGTGTACTATGCCATCCAATTCTGAAAGACACAGGCTTCCCCATCCCCTACTGAGACTGGTTCAAGAGACAAAAATACCCTTTTGACAACCACTGATGGATTGCAGTGAGAAGGTATGCAAACAGTACCTTCCTGGAAGTTGTCTCCCAAGGCTATTGCTCTAAGACTCAAGTATATAAACACTAGAATGAATATCAACTCTAGCAGTAAATGTTATTTTTATATTACAGTTGACCCTTGAATGATGCAGCTGTGAACTTCATGGGTCCTCTAACATGCAGATTTTTTTTCTCAACTAAGGGCCAATCCAGTATTGGTGGGACTCAGAACCTGCATATACAGAGGGCTGACTTTCATACACACCAGGTCCGCAGGGCTAACTGCGGAACTTGAGTGTGCATGGATTTTGGTATACACAAGCAGTCCGGGAAGCAATCCCTGTCACGTATACCAAGAGATGGCTGTGTGTTACGTTATATTCATTCGTTCTGTTATTTTATAAGGTTCTTCATTGTCGTTTGTGGGAACTCACCAGTATTTCTTCTTTTTGGTGCACCTTTGGTCATTTCTGGCAGCAGTGGTAAATGTATTTACTCTTAGCAACCTCTATGCTGCTACCTATTCAGAGTTTCAAAGGTGATTCATTAAAGGGCACAAGGAGTATAACAGCAATATCTCTGTAATATGATTGATCATAGATATAATTTCTAATAGTTATAAAGTCATATATTGATGCATCTCTGAGAATAGTTGAACATATCTTGTGCTATTCTTTATAGAGAAATTATCTTTGAAATTAAAGTCTTAATTTTATTTCTAGCTTTTTATAACAACATAATCCCTACTTGGTGTGTATCTTAAGGTCATTTTTAAATATATGATTTGAAGGGCAAGCTAGTGTTATGTGAAAAATGACAGATAAAGTAGCTTCCAACTCATCATCAGAGTTGATGATATTCTAAACCGTTTCTAACTAAATTCAGCTTCTTAATTTTCTCAATATAAATATGATGAAAATATTAATTCATTAAATAGTCTACAAGTATTCGGTAGTTGAAGACTTAAAATAGTGCTTGTAATAACAGGAGAAAAAGGACAATACAGGTATATCTCACTTTATTGCACTTTGCAGATACTTTGTGATTTTGGTGGCAACCCTGCATCAAGCAGGTCTGCCAGCACCATTTTTCCAAGAAAATGTGCTCACTTCATTAGCATTTTTAGCAATGATTTTAAATTAAGATAATGTACTTATTTTTAGGCAATGCTATTACACACTTGACTACAGTATAGTGTAAACATAACTTCTGTAAGCACTGGGAAACAAAAAAATGTGTGTGACTCACTTTACTGCCATAATCACTTTATTTGCCATAGTCTAAAACTGAACTGGCAGTATCTCTGGGGTATGCCTGTATAGATATTTTGGTTGGTATTATTGTTGCAGAATTCATAAAAATAACAGCGAGGCTGCTTAATATATTTCAGCTAAAAATTGCCAGCATAATTAATAGTAAACCACTAGAAATAAGATTTTGTTAATTTTTTTTTTTTTTTTTGAAACAGTCTTGCTCTGTCATTCAGGCTGGAGTACAGTTTGGCGTGGTCTCAGCTCATTGCAACCTCCGCTTCCCGGGTTCAGGTGATTCTCCTGCCCCAGTCTCCTGAGTAGCTAGGGTTACAGATGCACACCCCTACGCCTAGCTAATGTTTGTATTTTTAGTAGAGATACAGTTTTGCCATGTTGGCCAGGCTGGTCTCAAACTCCTGACCTCAGGTGATCCGCCCGCCTTGGCCTCCTACAGTGCTGGGATTACAGGTGTGAGCCACCGTGCCTAGCAAAATCAACTCTGAATCTGAATCAAACCTTTGAAACAAAAATTACCAATCAAAAAAACGTGCAGTCCCTGCCCCTAACTTTGAAAAAGTGACAAGGAGGGACATTTGGAAAGATGTCTCTAAGCAGTCAACAAGAAATGAAATCAGGGAGAGCTCTTTCAGCAACTGAAAAATACATGCAAAAAAGCCCGAGGCGGACAGTTCACCCGAAGCCAGGAGTTTGAGACCAGCCTGGCCAACATGGTGAAACCCTGTCTCTACTAAATACACAAAAATTAGCTGGGTGTGGTGGCGGCCACCTGTAATCCCAGCTCCTCGGGAGGCTGAGGCAGGAGAATCTCTTGAACCTAGGAGGCGGAGGTTGCAGTGAGCCTAGATCACGCCACTGCACTCCAGCCTGGGCAACAAAGTGAGACTCTGTCTCAAAAAAAACGAAAAACAGATTCAGACTTTATTTCCTTCCCAAATACTTCATAGATGTTGGTTTACAGGAATAACTTAAAGTCTCACTTGCTTTCTGTCTTTTCTAGTAATTTTTATCATGGATTCTGATTGCCTAGATCTGCTAATTCATTAAGGGTTGCAAAATTGTGATATTTGAATTCTTTATTCCTCCTTCCTTTATTACCTGTAATACTTCTTAAGAAAAACTCTTTCTCATCAACTCTATGACTACCCTAAATTACAGATCCACATATAAGACCTGTATACATGTATATAAATATGTACATATCAGATACAATAATGCTTAATTCTTTCCCATTATTTACTAATTTTCAAAATAATGTGATTCCCTAACTGCTCTCTAAATGTTAATCAGTGTGGTGGTAATAATGGTGGTGTCGATGTTGTGTGGGGTAAAATTTTAATACAGTGAAATACCCAGGGCTTAACTGGGTTAGTTTTTAAAAATTATGTTTATGTAACCATATTTCAGTCAAGGTATAGACAATGTCCATTAACACAGAGTTCCCATGTTTTCCTTTCCAGTGAATCTCTGTCCCCCATTAGAACAGACAATAACTGTCCTAATTGCTGTCACTGTACACTACTTTTGTCTGCTCTAGAATTTCTTATGAATGGAATCTTATATACTTGTACTGCATCGAGACTCTTTAGATTCATCCATGTTATTGCATTGATTTATAGTGCCTTTAAAAAAATTATGGAGTACTGTTGCATTATATGAATACGCAAAATGTGTTTTTTTACCTGTTGGTAGACAGTTGGATTGTTTCCAGTTTGGAACTATTGTGAATAAAGCTGTCTAGTCTTATTGTGGAAATGTTTTATTTCTCCTGGGCAAACATGTAGGAGTGGAGTTTCCAAAGCATATAGTAGGTACATATTTAACTAAAAGTGTCTTTTCCTCATTTTTAATATTGGATTTTTGTATTTCTATTGACTATAAATATTTTCTTAAAATATAGCATTATGCCTTATCTTTAGTTTTGCTTTTTTTTGGTTTCAGTTATCTTTGATCAGCAGTGGTCCAAAAATATTAAGTAGAAAATTCCATGAATAACTCAGCGTTTTTGATGTGTGTGTGTGTGTGTGTTGGTGGGTGTGGGCTGGGGAGGGAGGGTGGGTTGGTTGGTTTTTTTTTTTAAGAGACGAAGTCTCTATCATCCAGGCTGGAGTGCAGTAGCATGACTACAGGTTATTATAAACTGAAACTCGTGGGCTCATGCAGTCTTCTTACCTCAGCCTTCTGAGTAGCTGGTACCACAGTTGTGCAGCTAATTTTTAGTTTTTTTGTTTTGTTTTGTTTGTTTGTTTTTGTAGAAACAGGGTCTCACTGTGTTGCCCAGGCTGGTTTCAAACCCCTGGACTCTAGCAATCCTTCCACCTCAGCCTTCCAAAGTGCTGGGATTAGAGGTGTGAGCCACTGCGCCCAGCCAACAACTCTTAAGTTTTAAAATACATGCTATTCTGAGTAACATGGTGAAATCTCCCACCTTTCCACCCAGGGCATGAATTATCCTTTTTCCAGTATATCCATGTTGTCTAGACTACCCACCACTTTGAGTCTATTGGTCAGATCGACTGTTGCAGTATCGCATGCTTGTGTTCAAGTAACCCTCATTTTACTTAATAATGGCCCCTGAAGCACAAGAGCAGTGATGTTGGAAATTCGAATATGCCAAAGAGAAGCTGGGGAAAGTGCTTCCTTTAAGGAAAGAATTTAAAAATCATATGTTGAGGTTGCTAAAATCTGTGGTAAAAACGAGTATTTATGAAATTGTGAAGAAGGAAAAATAAATCATGAATGGTATATACAGAGTTTTTGCAATTTCAGACATCTACTGGAGGTCTTGGAACGCATTCCCCATGGGTAAGTGGGGAATACCGTGTATTCTATATAAAAGGCCCATTTCTGATACGTAGTTTATGATTATTTTCTCCAAGTCTGTGGCTTCATTTTCTTAAGTGTATTGTGGTGAGCAGAAATTATTAATTTTTGAAGTCTAATTGATTTTTTCTTTTATGTTTTTTTGTCCTTTTATATCTTTGCCTAGCCCAAAGCCACAAATATCTTATTTTTTCTTCTAATAGTATAATAGAGGTTTAAATTTTATGTGTAAATCTGTGATCCACCAC